AGGCAATCCACTCACCTCAGCCTCCCAAAGGCGCAGGATTATAGGCTGAGCCACCGAGCCCGGCTCGTGCCTTATCTTTTTAGTCTGTGGTCATCAGCATGGCACAGTGGGTCGGGGAGACCCCTAGAGCAGACCTTGCTGAAGCGGCCTGACCTGGCACCTGTGGTCTTGGCTTCTCTAGCCAGACTCCAGGGGAAGAAGGAAGAGGCCTTTCTGGAAGGGCAAACTTCTGTGTCTGGGTGGCTGGGCCCACCCAGTTTACAGCCTGGTATCTTTCAGGGATAGGGGCTGGAGTTGAGAAATCATGGGGGTGAAATCAGCCAGCGGGAAAGAGGAAATTCTCAGCTTTCACCACGAACTTTGCTGGTTGTGGTGCCAAGGCCGTGCAGCCCTCTCTGGGCTCCTTCCTTTCCTCTGCTGTGAGCTAAAGACCACGGTTTCCCCTGTGGCTCGGTGTCAGTGGGCCTCACTCCAGGCAGGAGGCAGGAGAAGACCTCACCTGCCTTGGGAGTCCCACCTCCCCGAACAAGCTTTGTGGAGGTCAGGCCTTTCGGGGGGCTGTGCCCTGCTCAGGGGGAGCCCACAGGCAATGGGATTTTTCCAGAAGGCACTATCCAGCTAAGCAGCCCAGGTGGCTGGAGCTCCTGTGTGAGCAGGGAAGTAGCACGTATTCAGCCAGTTGTGGGGATGGGAAGGTTGACATCTTCCAGAGACCCCGTGCTGCCACTCTCACCCCTCAAACCCAAGTGCTTGGGGGTGGATCCGGGGGTGGGTCCTCAGTCTGCCAGTTAAGTGAGGCTGGGCAAGGAAAAGTTACAGATTAAATGGAACGTCAACAAACCACGGTGCAAGGAAGCGATTGGAGTCAGCATGCCCTGCCCCTGGTCTGTGTCTCTGACCAGGGCAAGACCACAGTACCCGAGTGCACGTGGGTGTGTACGCATGGGCAAGTGTTTGGACACTTGAGTGTTTCTATAGATTTGCGATTCCCGAGCCAGGCTCGGTGGCCCAGCCTGTAACCCCGCCCCTTTGGGAGGCTGAGGTGAGTGGATTGCCTGAGCCCGCCGGTTCGAGACCCACCTGGGCAACTTGGCGAGACCTCATCTCTACA